GGATGAGCACACAAAACCATACAAAAGTCACTACATAAGTAGCCAAATCTTTCCAAAAAAAAAGTATAGAAACAAGGTAGGGATGAGCATACAAAAGTCACTACATAAGTAGCCAAATCTTTCCAAAAAAAAGTATAGAAACAAGGTAGGGATGAATACATAAAACCCATACAAAAGTCACTACATAAGTAGCCAAATCTTTCCAAAACAACTTTTATCTACAACTAGATGTTGAATTCCTTTCATTTGCACAAATTCAGGTTTGAATAAAAGCATTTGAACTGAATAATGTTATAATTTCCATAAGCTTAATTTTTTCCCCCTCTTTTTTTTTAAACAATAACAATGAATATTTAATAATGAATGGTAGTCACTATGAAGGTAGCAGTTTCAGCCTGGCGTGATGAGTTGTTTTGATGGACATCATGTGTTGAAGTTAGTGAAATACTGTACTACTTCTGCACTCCCCAAGCTAAAATGCAACACTTTAGTGTGTGAATTATTGCAACAACTGCAAGCATTAGTGAGCTACCCCTACTGATGCCAGAATCAGAATAATTGGCAGAACATTTGGCTGTTATGCTACTCACCAGTTCTCTACTTTAGCAGTGTTTGGGTTAAACTGAAGGTCCTAATAATTTTTCAAACCTAAGTTAGGTGTTTATGAAAGTCTCTTAGATTATTATAAGAGAGATTTTAGACTATGATGAGCAATACATAGCATGCATCACCCAATTTTTCCCAAACCATCCCGTTAATATTACGGAGCTATACCATGCTTAGTGAAAAAATGAAACAATGCTATAGCTAGTGAGTGAAGTGAAACTGTTACTTATTAACACAATAATATTATATTATCTGAATATGCTGTCAAGTTTTATTCTTGTTCATTCTATAATGGTTTTAAAACTTTTTAAGATAAAGTTATAACCATCAAAAGTTATATTTTACAAAATAAATTGATGTGATTCTAATTTTTACGTTAACTTTAAATTTAGGCTATTTGAAGAATATCAAACAATACTAGGTTTTTACCATAGCTAAATAAAATTTTGCCTAATAAATAAAACAAGTTATGATCATTCATTTCACTTGGTTGGTTACAAAGCATTTAATTAACTGTGACTGTGACATACACTTAAAGCCAAAACATTGTAAAACAATACTGGATTTTCTGAAATGATAAGCATGGACAAATGTAAGATTATTATTACAACAGATAAGTGATAAATTAATAAATATTTCATTGTTTTTATATTTTAAACAATACTGTTACACTATGTGTACGATACATTTTGATGTACAAAGTTTAGGGTTAAAAAAGTAACTCAAATCTCTATTAGTTTCCTCTGGCTTTTTAAATCTTTTTGCCACTTCGTAAAATTTTTGGAAACAAATTTTGAAGTCAATTGTATGTCATAAATTTTAAATCAAAAGTATCTTATGATCAATATTTTGTCATTTTCTGCCATTTATGGTATAATTCACAAGAAAAAACTTATTATTTTCATTTTTTCACAGCCGCAAAATAACCTACTTGATGATTTTTGTTTTTTAGAATTTTTCTTCTCATCCTAAAGAATAAGTATATTCTTACAAATAGCCTACCATCCCTTGAGAATACATTATCTAATTCTTGATTCTAAAGTATCTTCTTTAGTTTTTGCACAAATCTTGGTTGGAACCTTGATATGGTGCCACATCAAGTGGTTTTGTCATATACTAATAGTTTTGGAAACAGCTGTAAAGGATTAGGCTTTCACATATTAATAAAGTAAATATATAGGTTTAAGAATTTTTTTATAATTTTTGTAAATATTCTTTTCAGTTCCTTTTGTTGTGAACTGTGATAATCTTTGTGTGTTATATATCTGTTTGAAAACTACAGAAATTTTCTTCAATGAGAAGACATCAAACAGTTTGAAATAAGGTAAAGTTATACAGTTTAGAGCTGAGTGAATGGGTAACAAAAAAACTTTATTACAATTTTAACACAATAGCAAAAGTACAGTGTTTGGAGAAGGATTTCTATTATTATCAAGAACAATTAGTTTACCCAAAACAAATTATGAAACAAAGAAGTCATATAAGTGGCAAATGTGTGGTTTGTTTAAAATTAGTGTTTTTACTTTTTAACAGATAAACTATATTTCACTGAGTTGCAATATTTGTAAATACAAGGTTTTTTCATAATACCAACCAGACAAAATGGAATTGTCAGTTAAGTTTACCTGTTTAGAGAATATGCAACTGTAAAATATACTAATGACTCAAATCTTTATTAAATATTATTTCTATGTTCATCCTATTCAAACAATGTACATAACTGAATTGTTTCTAATTGTAATCATATGTTCTACATAAAAACATTACTACTCTTATTAGTGATAGTAAAACAGTTTCATTATTCAACTATCAATTTATTTGATTTACAGAAGGTCAATGGGGGCTTCTTTTACAAACACACATATTGCAACTGTGTGGTGGTATTTAGTCAACATTAGATTCAGTCACCAAATACAAAATTTCCAGATTACTTTTAAAAGAACATTTGTGGCAAAATACTGTTTTTGAGCAAATAAAGTACGTTTTCAAAAAATTCACAAGTGATAACCTCCAGAAGAGGTCTATCATAAGAAATAATGTGTAATTTGAAAACTACCTAAAAAAAAAGGTGAATGAAAATAAATTAATTGCCTCTTAAAATAATGCAGTGATTGAAAAGGTTATGAAGCTAGCACACCAAGTTATTTTTTGCTTGTTTGGGTGTGTATCTGTGCACTAATAGATTAATCTAATGTAATTGATTAATAAGCTCATCAATTAAGTGATTAGTAAATAACACTAATCACCTAGTTCTAAGCTGTGTATACCAGATATACTAGCTTGTCTGTGCTTTAATTTGATGGAAATGAAATATTAGGGGAAAATAACATCACCACAAAAGCAGTGCAACTTTAGTGAGAAAATCCAATAATCTGTACACAGTTTTTTTCCCCTATGTTTCTCTTTCCCTGTTTTATTTTCTTTCTTTCTTCTTTTCAATTTTAGATCTTTTGCTCTTTTCATAATCCAAAATTATTCCTATACCTTTTGAACACAACTCACTCTTACAACTACAACTGGTGTTATAATTAAATCAAATGAATACCTTATACACTATTACATTTTTAAGTATGTATTTTATTATTTTATCTCTTAAGCTTCTGTAAATACAAACTAAAAACTTACATTTTGGCCAATACATATCCCACTATCTTTCCTTTTTCATCTTCTGCAACATAAGACAACTGCAACATAGAAATTTACACACACATTACAGAGGTCCACAAAATGTATAAACTAATGATACTGATAATAAAACAATTTATTCTTAATTGTTTTCTTCAATTTCTCCTAAATTTCCAGGTATGCATATATGAGCATGACATACTGGTATTTACATTTTTTCTCATAATTTTTCTTAATTTCTTTTTTCTGTAACAACATTAATCCCAACTAGTTTGAGGTCAGCTGATATTGTTGTAAGCCAAGAATGTTTACACCTGAGTGGCTGGTTCAGTTAGCCACCATATAGAACAAGCATATTTCGTGACAGGGATTTGAACTCACAACCCTTGGATTGTGGGTCGAACACTCTAGCTACTAGGCCAAGCCAAGTCCATTTTGCTTAATTAATACCACTTTCTTTTATAATTTGATTACAAAAGATAATAAAATACTTCAAAATATACTTATTTCAGACTACAGTATTACAGGAAAATATTTTCAACAACGATATTACAGCTTGATGTTAGGCAATAAAATGTTCCATATTTATCTACAAAAAAGTTTTGAATAATGGCTTAGATAATTATCAGCAAGTAAAAGCAAAATTAACTGTCCACTTATATTGGACTTTTCTAGGTTTATTCATTTTTTGACCCATTTTTCAAATCCTCTGATCTTTCCGGGTTTTCCAGATTTTTGCCACTGTGTTTATCTTATAACCACAAGTATACCTATTTTTATTCAGCTTTATTGAAAACCAAACTCACTAAAGCACACAAGCTCCGTTATCACCATTTTGATCTACTAACACATTTCTAAGAAATATTTTGTACTACTGTAGAAAAATCATCATTATTCTTGTTTTTCAACTTTTACTTAATATCCCAGGCATAAAATACAGTAATGCCCTACTTATATCATATAAATATTTTTATGCTGATTTCTATGTTATTAAAAAGGAAAAATCACAAAACTATTCTTTTACCACAACATTTAATAAGCATTCATCTTATTTACAATAATTAAATAGTTTTAAGAAATTTCAGTGTGGAATGTTAACATTTTCCTTACCTGAAAATGTATTTCTAATAGCTACTCATATCTTCACACACTTTAGTTATCTTCCTCGCATGTCTTTCAAAGATATTTAAATCCTATTGGCCTTGAAGAAATTCCCACATAATTTCATGTAATCTAATGTGAATTGTGCTATTACATGATGATGTAATTATGCAGCAAAGCCTTTCATCATTAGGAAGGTGACACCCCTCCATACAAAATAACTATCTCTATGCATATGCAATAGTGAATCTTCATTCTTTGATGAGGCAAGGAATACTCAGGTGCACCAGAAATAGGGAGGAAGAGTGGGAATGTGTGAAGAAGTGAATATTTATTGGAAATACATCCTCAGGCATGAAAAATGTTAACTTCTGAGATGATATCACACCTCTGCACAGTTTATCTATAATCTCACGTTGAAATGGTGTAGAGGCAGGCCAAAGTTTTACCTAAATGAGCCCTTCAAAAAGCTCTCGAAGGAAGTCCATGGAATGTGACACCTGCTGGCAGGGGCAAACCTGTGGGAAACTCATCTAATCCAGGGTATATTCTTTGCTCAGGAAAAAAGGGAGGAAGACACAAGTGAGCCCTATGTGTCCCAAGTACATGCATGGCAAGAACATGACCATTTGAGTACTTGCACACAAGAGGTTGGAAAGCCAATACGTGTAGAATGGTTAGGGCACATTTAGACCATACCTAGTGTATTCACCTCAACCTCTATTGGACTGAACTATACAGAAAAGATCTGGACAAAGAAAGGGAGTCAGGAAAAAAAGGGGTCCATAAGGAGAAGGAATGGTACAGGAAAGAGTAAAATAACCCGAACTAACAGTAGAGGAACAAAGTTTGGAGGTATAAAGCAGAAGTGGAACATGTTAAACAGAGAAGAGAACAAACACCTACAAAAGCCATCTGTGTTAAGAATATTTAAATCTACAATAGCATCATGATATACCACTTGATAATGCATCACAGTTGAATCTAAGCTCTGTTTTCTGCTATATGTGCATATCATGCATTTTCCATGGCAATTTTAAAAATTTTTCAGTGCAATTCAGGGTTTATTCTTAGTATAGAATACTGGTCAGGGGAACTATTAAGTTTATGTCATCTTGGTTATTCACAAGACTGCATGAGTCACCAAAATCATTGCTGGTATTTTCCTTTAGAAAAAATCAATGTATCATGAGTGATGCTATGAACTGAAGCAGTGGTCTGTTCAGGTGGCAAACAGTGGGATAGCCTGAGATTATGACCCACATGTTGACATGACAATGGCCCTAAATCAGGTGGATGTCACAAGTGCATGGAAAAAAAAACTATGTACACTAGTCCCCCTCTTGAAAGACCACCCAATGGTTCATGTCAGTGGTTGTCTTTCCTCAGAGTTTCAGGAACAGACAGATAACTGCAGAAAACGTTGTTCCACTGTATTTATGTAATTATATTTATTACACTTTAATATTAATGCAAATGTATAGTTATATATAGTAGGGTAACTAGATCACATAATGTATGTATATCTACTTGATGCTGTTCTCCCAATACAGTACATAACACAGTAACCTTTATTAGTTAGTGAGTGTGGTTTCAGTCATTTCGAATCGCACAGACTTTTTTGAACATCTATTTTGAATCAAAACTGCATTCAACATATAATTTACATGATAAACAGTCATTAAGTTTCTCATTTTAGCTGATCAGCCATCAGAGAGAGAAAATAATACAGTAGACATCCATTCCAAAGTATGGTGGTCTAAAATGAGGGGGTGGTTGCAGACCAAGCAGTCTCTCAAAAGGGGGACTACTGTATATAATGTTTTCCTTTTTTGGCATGCATATAGACTTATCAAGCATTTTGGTGAGATTTGTACTTTTAAGATGTTTCTCAGAGTTAAAATTTAGACAGAGAGTGTGATAGAGGTTTCCCAATATACTTTTAAGGTATGTTTCATCTTCAAGTACACAGACTGTAAGCAGCACAACTTAAGACTTTAATCTGATAGAGCTAGAGATACAATGGTGAGTGTGTTAATAAAGCTCTATTGACACATACATAAGCACTTCTTTTATTTCTGTTGTAAAAATATTCTCATTGTTTACACTATGTCTAGTCTCTTTCTTTTGTGTAAAGACTCAATGAAAAGCAGATAAAATAAGCCACTGCTCTGTGATATAGTATCTGACAAATCCTCCTGCAGGTTATTGTGAAGGAAATCAGGGCAATCTGAGAATTCCACACTGCTAATACCTCATATTATATATACTATATTAAACCTAATGCTTTAAAATGTTATATGACTTGCTAACATGCTATAGCTGAAGTTCACCTTAACCAACATTTTGAATTTGTTTCAATATTTAATTACAATTGGTGAGTCTTATGAGCTACAAACAGTACAACTGATGTGAAATTGTCCTACAATTCTCTCTGAGTGGGAAAAGAGCAAATATTCCTGTCATAATTTATGTTAAGAGTCAGCAAGTAGTGACCTTTGTTTCTTGATATCTATCACACAAAACTGACCTCTCCATTGTCTAATATCTATCAAACAGCTTCCAACAGTTAACTTAGAAATTAATGCTTTTCTAAACTATGATACCAGAGGTTTCAACTACACTTCAAGTTGCAAAAACAATGGTACAAATAAAATCTTACCTGTGGCCAGGACAAACCATGATAGAAATAATATTTCATTTGGTAGTTTTCAGGCAAACAAAGCAAGTTACAATGTTGCATGTTCATCAAGTCTTCTGGCTAAATAGAAAAACAAAATAAACAACAAATCACTCTTCTGTGCAAAAGGATATCACCTACATTCATATTTTCTGTCAAACTAAACTTTAACCTTTTCACTGTGTTGTGCCATAAAGCTTATAGCACACAGGATAATTCCCAAGTTCTCAAGTGGTTATATATTTTGTAGATGAGTACTTCATATTTCCAGCAGAATAATGTGCTTTTACAAAAGTTTTGAGATAAGTGCTGGGGCTTCTCATATATTCATTGCTTTACTTCTGAAACTGTATATTGCTGGTTGGCCATGATAAACTTAAAAAGAAAACGAGATTAACTGTGCCTTCACTTAAACAAGAAGATTCCCTCTCTGTCATCCCATACATATCAAAACAGTTAATAATGAATAAGCCCAAAGATTTATCCTTAATAAATATTCAATTCCAGATGCTTGTAAAGTGTGTGTTGCATTTACATACATAAAAGGCATGACTTTATAAAGTGAACAGACTTGGATACATTCTAGCTGTTTGATGTGAAACAGGAAAAAATTGAGTCTTTTTTGTGAAATAGGTTTACTTGATTTCTGTTCTACCTTCATGGATGATAATGATCTTGAAATGCTGTTGATTACATTTTCTGAAGAAATTGTTGAATCATGAAGAGACAGTATTTAAATTGGTCAAACTAATATAAAAATGTTTACACAAATTTAAAAACATAATCCCTACCACATCCTTCTCTAAGTTTTAGTTACACTTTTACTTGAGAATTTGTTTATTGCATTTGCCAGTATTGTAAGTACTGTTTCTTATTTACTTATAATGTTAAAGTATAGAGAATATGTGGTACCTTAAAGGTACCACCAAGTTGGAGCAGTTTGGAAATGCTTGTCAAGCAGGCTTGACTGTTTCAGTGGACAAACATAACATGTTCCAAGAGTGGGAAGTAGAATAATTTTGTCAAATCAAATTATTCAGGTCTGTTCAGTCTCATAAGTCATGTTTAAAGATGAATAACTTGTATAACTAAAAGAAATTGGCATAAAATTGTAATACAAGCAATTTTTGAATGTTAGACTGCTAGTAAAAGTAAAAGGTGAGTACACATTAAATCAGAAAACAAAGGAATCTACTGTAAAATCCCAAACAACCTGCTTTAGTTGCCTCAAAACTATGTGGTAAAAACTTTAACATTATAACAAAACTGATAACAGCAACTAAACTAATTTCCCAGAGGGAATAAATACTGCTGCTGCAGTCAAGGAGTTCAAACTTAATTATCAACCATCCAATATTGTATTTGTAACACTGAGTCCTTATCCCATTGATATACAGTAAATGTTGATGTTTTTTGTGACTTCCAAAACTATGAGGTTATCACCACTATAGTACTAGCTACAGCACATGCACTGCATAAGCTGCAACTCTAAATAGCCTAAAAAAAAAAAAAAAGAC